TCGGGAAATGGAATAACATTGACATCGTGCACATTTTGTTCCCTAGCCCCGCCAAGCAACCTGTGCAATTTGTGCCGCAAAATATTCTGCCACCGCGTCATATTGGCTTTGAGTATCGGTTAACTGATTCATATAATGTTTAAATTTTGCCGAATCACGCAATCCTAGCCCTGTGACATACCATGCAATATGTTTACGGGCAATACGCACGCCACTATATTCACCATAAAATGCATAATGCGACTGCAAATGTTCTAAAAAAATTGTGCGGATTTGCTCAAGGCTCATGGGAGGTGGTTTAACGCCATGCTCGAGGTAATGTGCAATTTCACCATAAATCCAAGGTTTGCCTTGACCTGCGCGGCCAATCATCACGCCATCAGCTTGGGTATAGTCGAGCACCCATTTAGCTTTTTCAGCATCAGTAATATCGCCATTGGCAATCACAGGAATATTGCTTTGTGCTTTAACGCTGGCTATCGTATCGTATTCGGCCTGCCCGTTGTAGGCATCGGCTTTTGTTCTGCCATGCAAAACCAATAAAGAGATGCCAGCATTTTGTGCCATTTTAGCGATTGTTAACGCATTTTTATGTTCTCTATCCCACCCCGTGCGAAATTTGAGTGTTACAGGAACATGATTTTTGGCGGCGGCACCAACCACTGCATCGAGAATTTGACCCACCAAGGTTTCATTTTGTAAGAGTGCAGAGCCACTAGCGACCTTACAAACTTTTTTTGCAGGACAACCCATATTAATATCAATAATTTGCGCCCCACGATCAATATTAAAACTAGCCGCTTGCGCCATCATCTCGGGATCACTGCCTGCAATTTGCACGGCTTTAGGCTCAATCTCACCATCATGATTAGTTCGTCGCCAAGTTTTTTCTGATGCCCACAGCAAAGCATTTGATGCCGCCATTTCAGAAACCGCATATCCTGCCCCCAGTGACTTACACAACTGCCGGAAAGGTCTGTCGGTCACACCTGCCATCGGTGCGACCATCACGCAATTTTTAAGTGTGTAAGGGCCTATTTTGAGTAAGCTGTTTGACATAAAGTGGCGTAAAGTACAACGTATTATTTTGAATTGGAATTAGGCTAAGTTTTTAATACTCTTTAAGTTTTACTTTATCTTCCGCCATGTCCAATGCATGGTAGCCAAAACTAGACCAGCCGTATGACAGACCTCCAATCCTCGTAGATACGATCAACCAATGAATATGATTGAGCATGAAAACATAGGCATGGAGCAAACAACCAAACTTGCCATAAGCATACGACAATCGCTTATAAGTTTAGAGTTTAATTAGCAATCAATCGAGCTCATCTTCTTAGAGTAATTGTAAAAATATGATAACAAGCCGCTAGGATTTTGTTCGGTCCACTGACAGTGGGGTGCTAATGAGTGGCCCCATCGATTTAATTGGGTGTGAATTTTCCGACTTCCGCAAAATTAACGTTGTCACAACGTACAAACGATACGTATATCCGATTCAAAGTGGTTCCTTCAAGTTCATTAGAATACTCAATTCTCTTTGCCAAACCCAAAATGGAACGGTCTTTAGGGAGTGGCTTAATAGGCTCAAAAACAATTTTTTGAGCATAATCAAGACTTAACTGTCGTTGATAGCGATAAACAACACCTTCATATATTGCCCCATTATTTTCATCAGTTAAGCGTACTGTCGTCCCTTCTGCCATATTCGGTGCAATCATTCGATGTTTCAGCTTAAATGCATACTGCTTTTCATCATTTAATTCGCAGTCTTCAGCGACACCACTGGTTACATAAACACCACTCCAACTCGCAACCGGTGTGCCAGTATAACTCGCACATCCTGTGACAAGCCCAATGGGAAAACATGTGATCAAAAATGTTACTGGCCACTTACTCATGGTGTTTCCTTATTTATAAAAAAATCAAATTCATGCACTTTGTCTTAACGACCAGCTTTAGTTTCAATCCTCATCCGCAACGCATTGAGTTTAATAAAACCATCTGCATCAGCTTGATTGTATGCGCCTCCGTCTTCATCAAAAGTGGCAATCGTTTTGTCAAATAAGGTGTCTTTAGAGTCTCGTGCAACAACACTCACCGCACCTTTATATAACTTAACGCGCACCCAGCCATTCACGTGTTGTTGTGTATGGTCGATCAAAACTTGTAGAGCTTTGCGTTCAGGTGACCACCAATAGCCGTTATAGACTAAGCTAGCATAACGAGGCATAAGATCATCTTTAAGGTGTGCAACTTCTCGATCTAGAGTGATTGACTCGATACCACGGTGCGCTTTGAGCAAAATTGTCCCACCAGGTGTTTCGTAGCAGCCGCGGCTTTTCATACCAACATAGCGATTTTCAACAAGATCTAAACGACCAATACCATGTTTACCTCCCAATTCGTTGAGTTTGGCAAGTACTTCGTGAGGCTTCATGTGTTCACCATTGATCGCTACAACATCACCTTTTTCAAATTCAAGATCGACAAATTCAGGGGTATCGGGGGCATTTTCAGGTGAAACTGTCCAGCGCCACATCGATTCTTCAGCTTCTGCTTTGGGATCTTCCAGATGGCGACCCTCAAAAGAAATGTGAAGCAAGTTGGCATCCATTGAGTAAGGTGCGCCGCCTGCCTTGTGTTTCATATCAATAGGAATACCAGCTTTTTCTGCATACGCCAACAGCTTTTCGCGGGACAATAAATCCCACTCGCGCCACGGCGCAATCACTTTGACACCTGGCATTAAGGCATAGTAGCCCAACTCAAAACGAACTTGATCGTTACCCTTGCCTGTTGCGCCATGTGAAACTGCATTGGCACCCGTAGCCTTAGCAATCTCAATTTGGCGCTTAGCGATTAGAGGGCGAGCGATGGAGGTACCCAATAAGTATTCACCTTCATATAAGGCATTAGCACGGAACATCGGAAAAACAAAATCCCTAACAAACTCTTCTTTTAAATCATCAATATAAATGTTTTCTGGTTTGATGCCAAATTGTAACGCTTTTGCTCTGGCGGGCTCAAGTTCTTCGCCCTGCCCCAAGTCAGCCGTAAAGGTAACGATTTCACATTGATAGTTGTCTTGCAACCATTTTAAAATCACTGAGGTATCTAAACCGCCAGAATAGGCAAGTACGACTTTTTGAATATCGCTCATGGGGTGTCCTAGGTAATCTTTAAGATAAGTAATACAAATACTCTTTCAAAACAAAATGCTGCCATCATTTAAGACCATTAGCTATTCGTGTCTTAATGTGGCATGTTGAAACAGTCTTAGTTGGTCAGGCGTTATTTTAACCGATTTGATGCTCTTTTAACGCGTGAGCCAATGTCCTGCTAATGCACCCACCCCACAACCAAGCGTATTGGCAACCATATCTTTGTAGCTTGACGTATGATTGGGCACAACTTGATCATAAATAAGCTCCTTAGCCAACCCTATTCCTAAGCAAATTCCTAAGCCTAACCAACTATTTTGGCTTGCCAAACTTGCACCACCTGCTATGGCAGTACTGACACCAAAGTGAAGTGCTTTATCTTGACCTAGCCATGAGTCAGGATTTTGTGTGCTGACAACGGAAAATTGAATATTTTTATCGACACGTTGTAAATTAACATCTGAAGTTGGCGACCTTTGCTCATCTGAGGGTGTCAATGAAGATCGATTAAGTTCTGTAGTAATGATTTTAATTGTCAAGTGAGGACTTGCTAACAAAGACGTGCTTGACATGCATATAGTGCAAATGAACAAGTATAGGGTAAGATTTTTTAAGAAAAATGTAATCATTTAATTACGGTGCTAAATTTTTGGGCATAATATATATAGAGACGCCATCATATCAATGGTGCACGAAGCACACTTTAACTGTTAACTCATGAAATAACGATGTTCTATAACGACAAAGAATCCTATATTAAGGCATTTTCACCTCAGAAGCTTGATGCCATTAAAATGCTGGTTAAAACATTCATAAAGTATCCCAAATTAATGTGGCGAACTTTGTTTCGTCACGAAAACTTGCAAGATCATTTCGATGAATTTGCTTTAAAGGTCTCTTTCGATCGCACTGACCATCCTTTGGATGCGATGGGACCACTTGAGGGTATCGTAGCGATATTACCCAAGTTATTTTTGCGTCGCTCCCAATCGATACGAACCATCAAACTCATCCAAGAACAAAATCAAACGTTTGTATTTTTAGCACAAGGGTACAATATTTTTACCCCAGATAATGCTCAAGATTTTACCAACGGTAATTATCTAGTTCCTGCCAACGAAAAAGCGACCGACATATACATCAGTATTGCTTTATTGCGAGAAGATGTGTATCGACTACGGATGGCAAGGCATCAAGAAGATGTTACCAAGCCACGACAAACAGACATGGTGGTGGGAGATTTGACCAATCCCCAGTGCAAGGTCACCCTAGAAGAAACGCAAGCATATTATTGTCTTAAAACCAGTAAGCTTTGCCTCAAAATCTACAAACAAGATTTTACTATTGAGGTGTTTGATGATAAAAACCATCTCATTACACGAACAGGTCGGCGCAGCAATAACGAGTTTCGTGTTGCCACAGACTCTTACCCCATGGGATATGCCATGGATAAGCGTTTTAAGCAATGGTATGCTTTAGATTCCTTCGATTTATCGCCTGATGAGGCGATATATGGCTTGGGCGAACAATTTGGTCGCATTAATAAGGTGGGACAAACCTTGCGCCTGTGGATTCATGAAGGTCTTAGCAATTTGTCAGGACGGATTTATAAAGCTGTACCTCTCAT